CGTAAATCACTAAATGATCAGATTGAAAATACACACTTCAGAGAAGATCTTCAGGCCCACCTCTACACAAAAAAATGATAACATGCAAATCACCTGTGGGCCTGTGGGTTCCCAGCATTTGGAATTGCCATCCCCTCTTCATCCAATTTTCCCTGACTGGGCCTCAAATGGACCGATTAGATCAAATTATATCGTCATTGTGAGCAGTTGTGGCCAGTGCCTCATTCGCATCTCTTTCAGCTCTTGGTCTGAAAGGATCAGCTCCTCGTGGGTCGTCGGCAACGGTGGCACCTCAGCACTTCGGCCCGGCCCGGGCCACTGGCAGCCAGCTGCAAGGAGTGACTGAAGCGAAAGCGGCACCTCATTTTTTCTATTTGAAGTGAAACATAGTGAAACATATTCTCTTGATTCTTCAGAAAGGTCCAAGCACCTTCACAACGCTTCCAACGTTTCATGAAGGCCATCAGCCCCTGCCTCCGGGTCCTTCTGCTGCGGAACGTCCGCCACAGCAAGATCTTCACTTTTAACGTGTTCCATCAAGTCAAGAATTCGCCTGGGGATCACCAAGCTTTCACCAGCTAAGTCTCTAAAAGTCTCTCCAAAACTTGGGGATTTCACCAAGCTTTCACCAGTGAAGAGATGGGCTTTCACATGGGGAATCATGGAGAAATTCACCAATGGAAGTAGCTCAAGAGGAAAATGATTCTCAACCACTACTGGTACCGTATTTTCAAACCAAGCTACTTGTGCCATTATGGGGTCAGGGTTGAGACAATCCCTCCACACAAAGAAACAACCTGAGTTGTAATGTCCAGTCCGAGAAGGGCCAAGACAAGGAAGACAAAGCACTTTCAAAGTAGACATGTCCAGTGTGGGTTCAAGTCCATCTGCAGGCTCCACCTCCCAATTTGGTAGTTCCCATTGAATGAAAAGAGAAAACCCCTCCAATTTCATCTGGACCAAACTGCTCATGGAAAGGCCATCTGAATCCCAGTTACCGATTGATTTTCCACGGCATTCGCCCGAGGAAGTCCTGGTTGAGGGATTTTCCAGTGGGGTTCCCACCGACCCCACCTGATAGGATTCACAGCCAACTGTTGCAAAAGGGGGAGCCCCAGTCTGTTTCTCAGCTTTTTGAAAGCTCAGATGGGCAAAACTGAAAGTTCACCAAAGCCAGAATGATTGCCCTTGGGAATATCTATCACCTTATTTTGGTTTGCTGAAGATATCTGACCTTCAAAACGATTCGCAGCTTCGACTTCTCAAACTTGTAGAGTGCGTTATGAAGTCTGCCAGAATTTCTACATGTTGCCAGAATTTTCCCGAAATAGTTTGACTTCAAATTGGACGAGTTCTCTGTGCTGCAGGGTGCCCATTGCCGCGGTTGTGGGAATAGAGGTCCCATCATCGATCTCCGAAGATTTCACATTATGGGATAATATCATCATCTATCCCCATAGTATCACCATATCTTACAGTATCACCATGGATAATTATGGTATGACATGGTATGACCATTAGATCACCATTATTCAAATTGGACTTTTCCACCCAGATCCGCCCCCAAGAGATCGGTCCATGACACCGGCGACACGAGTGGGATTGTAACTTCGCAAGCACGTCATCTTTTGATCGGTTGTTCTCACGAACTCCACGGGATGAATCAAATATGGACCTGGCCGTTCGTCGCAAAAAGGGGACCAGGGTGACCAAAAAGGGGACCATTCTCGGATGGAAAGCAGCGAAAGCAGCTATTGCAGCTATAGAATTGCAGCTATGGACTTTCTGAAGATCGCCCTGTGATTTTTGAAGCTTCCACAGATTTCCACAGTCCCTTCAGCCTTGAGGTCCAAGGCCACAGGGTCTCCAGGGGTCGGGAGGGATAATCATTGGTTTGTGCTTGGGCTGAATGAAGCGCATCAAATCCTGCGTTGAAGGAGAGAACAAAGGTTTAGGCTATGCCAAATCCATCATAATCTATCCAAATCAGGAGTACCTGTGTATATTATATATATATATACATATATGTATGTATATATATATATATATATGTATACGTATATATATATATACACCGCATATACATGTTGTATCTATGCACACCAATACATGCATGCATGTATCCCCAGAAACCAACAATGGTCCTCGTCACTCTCCAGCATGGAGCGCACAGCAGGGTGTAAGGAGATCACACCCACCTCCAGCAACCGTGCCCGGTGGCAATGTGGGTGTCCTACCAGTCATGGTGGTACCCCATTGATATGGATGGTGTGTAATGGAAAATACCATTAAACTCGATGATTTAGGGGTACCCCTATTTCAGGAAACCTCCATATGGATCATGTTATGTATATCCATAAAAATTGCTGAAATCTCTATCAGAAACGGCTTGTAATGATGTATGACCATTTATAGATGGCTTTCCTGCGAAACATGATCAAAACTGATGATTTTTACAAGGCCATGTTTCAGTACCATAGCGGAAAATTCATGGATCGCCATGTGTGTTGGATCTTACTATATTATAGCTGAGAAGCAAATGTTCAGCCAGGTTTTGGCCTTACTTTTCATGATCCGGTCATTCCACTTCTCTGGCCAAGAGTCCAGCACCAGTGCATTCACATATGGGATGCATTATTGTGTGGGACGGAATCTGATGTGACACAATGAAATATATATATATATACGCAATACAATGTAGCCTATGCCATATAAATGGAGAGGTATGTTATGTTGCAATGTTGCATTATGTTGGGCCATGCTATATCATGTCATCTACTTACATTATCTGCTGATGGTACTCCATGCGAAGAGTGTCGCTAGAGCTTGGATTTTTAAAGCGGACCTGGCTAGGAGTTGAGAGGGAACCGAGTGCAGGTGTGGGTAATAGGGTTTAGAAATCCAACAAGGAATTCTAGATGCATGGAGCATGCATGCATCTATTCTATATAACACCTCCAGTTCGGGATGTTTTGTAAACAGGTTTCACTCTGGAATCTGCCTGGATGAACAGAATATCTGCGACATTGTCAGCCATGCTCCAATTGGTAAATCGCCTGGGTGCCGGACGTGCTTTCTCTTCCCTTCACGGCGTAGCCGGTGCTGCAAAGCCTGAAGCGATGAGGAAATGGGAGGCCACCAGTCAATAGGAAAAATCTGAGTTTAACCAGCCAAAATTGGGATTGGAACCAAGAAAAATGGGAGGAAACAGGAAAAAAGAAAGCAGGTGTCGTGTCGAAGAACTTCTCTGCTTGATGGAAACAAGCGTGAGCACTACAAAACCTCTTGAGCACAAAAGGCAGATAGTTTCAACGTCTCTTGCACACCAATTCGACTCAAGCCACCTCCAGCAGTACCTTCTGTCCAGGTTTCCTTAGAAAATTCCACTCAAGTGGATTCAAGAAGTTGCAGGCAGATATTGAGCCAAGAACCACCCCAGTCCAAGAACATTTTGAGATCCACATGACTGGGAGATCCTGCGGGGGGTTCTCCGCATTGAACTTCTCGGGAACCTACACCGGGCGGATGGAACCAGTGATAATTTTCCTGGGGTTGATATGTATGTCTCGTTGTACGAGTATGTGTATAGATGTATATATATATATATGTATATGTGTGTATGTACAGTTATATGTATATACGTCTATATGTGCACACACTCACACACATTTATAATATATATATATACATACGTACATACATTCAATAATTGGGGGCGTTAAAATTTCTTCCCGATACCCATCTAATAACGACATAACGACAAAAAAAATCGAATTTCAAGCCTCCAATTCCATCGAAGTGAAAACACAAACAGTTTAAGCATTTTAAAAATCGAATTTCAAGCCTCCAATTCCAAATCCTTAGTACTGACATCTCTGTGGTTTTTTATTTTTCCACTGAGACCAGAATTCCAGCCAACGCAGTGTCAGGTCCGCCTGCTCTGCCGGCACTTCAACTTTGGCACAGGACAGGAGCAGTTCAGCCAAGGCAGCACCAAGCTGCACGGTTTTTACTACATCTTGGGATGCCTTGGGACTCAGCACAATGACGCGACACAAGCTTATGAAGAAGCAAATTCATGCTGAAAATAACACTGGCGCACACTATTCGTTTAAAACATGTTCATGATATATACATATAAGCATATATATATAATCAATTATATATAATCAAATATATATATATACATAATCATATAATCATATATATATATAATCATGTATATAATCATATACGTATATATATATAGACATATAATCATATATACACATATAATTATATACAATCATTGATAATCACATATATATATACATATAATCATATAAATACGTGTCTACCTATATACATACACACATATGTATGACCATATACGTACATTAGACATACATATACATATATGTACATTGTACAGGTATATACATATTTAAGTACATAGTGATGGGACTAACTATACTGCATGTCACTGCACTAAACTCTCTTCACCACGCAGTTGCTTTATGACATGCTATGCTCTCCTTCGGTGCCGTGATCAAATCTCATCCAGAAAAATTCCAGTGCATATAGCCGTGATTACGCCACAGAAAGCCTTCCATCCTATCCAATCTCTATCTATCTATCTAAATATCTATCTATATCTATCTATATCTATCTATATCTATCTATATCTATCTATATTTATCTATATCTATATATATATCTTTATCTATCTATCTATCTATCTATCTATCTAAATATATATGTATATACATACATACATATATATCTATCTATCTATATCTATCTATATCTATCTATATCTATCTATATCTATCTATATCTATCTATATCTATCTATATCTATCTATATCTATCTGTATCTATCTATCTATCTATCTATCTATCTATCTATCTATATCTATATCTATATCTATCTATCTATCTATCTATCTATCTATCTATCTATCCATCTATCTATCTATCTATCTAAATATATATATATATGTATATACATACATACATATATATATATCTATATCTATTTATATCTATCTATATCTATCTATATCTATCTATATCTATATCTATCTATATCTATCTATATTTATCTATATCTATATATATCTATATCTTTATCTATCTATCTATCTATCTATCTATTTATCTATTCTCTGTTTGTCTGAATGTCTGTTTGTTTGTTTGCTTGTTTGTCTGTCTGTCACCTGTCTGTCTGTCTGTCTGTCTGTCTGTCTGTCTGTCTGTCTGTCTGTCTGTTTGTCTGCCGATCGATCTATGGATCTATCAATCTATCGATCTATGTACCTATCGGTTTAACCATATATATATATTCATCTTTCCATCTGTCCATCTATCAATCCTATCTATCCGATCCATCTATCCAACTTTTCATCTTTCCATTTATGAATCCATCCATCGATCGATGGATCTATCGATCTATTAATGTATCTACGTAAATTTCAATCTATCGATTTTTCGATCTATCGAACTATCTCTTTATCTATATATATATATATATATCTATCTATCTATCCATCTGTCTGTCTGTCTGTCCGTCCGTCCGTCCATCCGTCTGTCTGTCCCTCCACCCATCCATCCATACATTCATCAATCTACTTATATTGTGTCTTCTCTTGTCACATCTTACCTTCTCTATTCTATTCTAGTGTATTAGATTCGATTCTATCCAATCTATCTAATCTATCTACCACGTCTAATCTCTCCAATCTATCCTATCCTATCCTCTCTACCATCTATATCTACACGCGATACAGCCATCTCTGTTCGTTCCAAGGTTCAGCCTTCCGCAAGCGGCGAAACATCATATTCCTGCGGTCCCGGTCTCCTGCAAGTGTTGCTGTTCAGGGAACCCCTGTAGTACCTAGAAGTCTAGAAGTATCACAAAATGCTGTCAGTTATTCTGGGATCATGTCATGTCAACCTCCAAGAAATCCGAGTTGATTAGGCTCACCACAAAAAAGTAAGCAGCGCACTTGCACTTTTTCAATGGCAACACAAATTCCCAGCAGAGGTCAAGCCACAAAAGTCTATCCCCTGTCGACGTGGCGACCAGTCCTTTCAGGCTTGTGGAATCCATCGCCATGCGCTCCATCTGCACCATCTGCAGCGACGAAAAAAAAGCAGCGAACTGATTCAGCAAATGGCGACCGTTGAATCGCTACCACAACGAACCATAGATTCAATCATTTTTGATATGAAATCCAATCAGCTAAATAATGAAAATTATGAATATATATATATATAATATATACATATTATGTCTATCCAACCATAGATTTTATATATATATATATCAAACCACATTCCCCGATGGCGCCTCTCCGATGGTGCTGCACACGGTCACCCAGCGAACTTCTCCAAACCTCCCATCTTGGACATCTCGTTGTGCATCATCCTCGCAACAGCCCATGGGTGGTTCCAGAGAAGGCAAGTTGCCAAAGGGAATTTTGCGATCTGGTAAACTAACATATTTATGGGGAAAAATTGTCCTTTTGTAGATGATTTACCTATTCAACATGGTGATTTTCCATAGCGATGACCAAAGGGTGCCACTCAAGCCATGCCACAAACCCTGCAAGCCCTGCAAGCCCTTCAAGCCGTGCAAGCCGTGCAAGCCGTGCCTTGTGGCGGTAATTCGGCAAGAACAGCAAGTTCAGGGTGGTCCTGGGTTTTTTGGCTCTGAACAAACAGCGTTGATCCTTGATATGAGGCAGGTGGTAATGTGGTAACGGTCGCACCATGTTATCATCGCCAAACCCAATCACTTTTCTGAAATGGTTGGTATAAAGTATTGGAGGTTCTGGCAGCGGGTTTATCACAGTAGTACTTGTCCCAACATCGTCTGTTGAACATTGTCATGAATTCACAAAATGCAGCACAGCTGCGGGCACAGGCAGGCCACATCACAATGCACTGTTTCTAGAGGAAGCACTTGCAAGGCAGCACATCCAGCAGCCAGAACCCAAAAGCCTAAAAGTATACACCCCCTAAGGAGGAACCCGGTGCTATAGGACTGAGAGGGCCCAAGAAGCAAAGTCAAATCTCTGTATTGTGGCGTCATTGAGAGCAAAATAATCCTTTGAAACATCCTCTCGTCTCGGAGGAGTTGAGCCGGAAAATAGGAATTGGAGGAGTTGAGCCGGAAAATAGGAATTCACTTGGGCGAACCTTTGGTCATCGGAATCACGCAGACATGTGCTTTTCCGGGCAACGCCGACCATCTGATTTTTGAGTGGGCACTCTCATGGACAAAAGATACATCCAGGAGAAGTGTGAGGCTTCCCGTTCAATGGTTGATTCAAGGCACAGCAGGGCTCTTGCAGAACATATGTCATACGATTCAAACATATACAGGGCCAACATTGGTACATCAAAGACTTTCGGAGTTGCTGGCTCCAGCTCCAGTTTTTTTGCTGTGCTCTGATGGGACATTCTGTAGGTGCATTTTGTGTGTGAGAGAGACAACTGTGGCAATCCTGATTAAACTTTTTCAAAGGCAAAATACATATGTACATGTCCATTCTGCATGTGTATATATATATATACATATATATATACATGTAAACATATTCTGGTCCTGCATCCAACACTGACACAGAAGCCAAACATTTCAAGCGAATCCAGCAATTCTATTCCTGAACCAAATGATTTTGGAAATGGCCCAAAAACTGTGCGTCTACAGCAACCCCATCTTGACCCACACCCGCATGTCACTCTTTACCGGCCGCTCCACTCCTGGCCAATAAAATAACTGAATTTGGGTCTCTCTATGTATATATATTCCTTGATTTGCAACCCCGTCACATGCATAACCCCTTGGTTTCCCCAGTTGACTCAGTCCCAGTGTCTGACATGCGATCAGGGCCAAGACTTGCGGGTCCATCTCGGGCCCTTGAGACTCTAGCGTCCCGCAAAGCTTCTGCAACGCCTAGCCATCCCTGGGCCCCAAAACATGGTAATCCAATGTCTTCCGGTAATGATTTGGTGACATCAAGTGATCTCCCTATAGTTGCTATAGCTATGATGGTAATACATCTATAGTTGCTCACTCCTGGGAAAGAAATTGTGAGTTTACGAACCAGAAATGGAATGCGAATCAGAAGAATTATGGGGATAGGAACAACCACAACCGATTATTGAATTCAGTATGTGGATAATATGACAATAGAAAGTCCGCTATAAACTAACGTGTTCTTTTAATGCAAAAAATATGGGAAAATAATCGATGTGGATGTTCTGTTGGTTGGGAAACGGCTTGGTCTCAAGCCATGGGCCTCAACCCTTCTTTCGTGCAGGACTTTCGACTAGATAGCCTCTTGTAATCAAACATGGTCTGGAAAATCCCTTATTTACATGTTTTTCAGAATATATAGATGATTATAGATGTCCACTTGGTTATTTAGTTGAGTGATTCCCCCTGCCATGTTGGAGCCCGGAAGGTTCCTCTGAATCCCTGCGACGTTTCCCGATCCGTTTCCCCCTCCTTGAAGGACTTTGCTCCCCTGCCACGAGCGTAGGAGGACTGAGGATCCATTAAGATCTGAGTCAAGTCATTGACCCAGGCCTGGCATAGAGGATGAAGCACTGGGATTTTTGTGTCATGCTACCTGGAATTCCTGTTTGGCCTCTAGAAATGTGGTATTCCCCCAAATTGCAGTTTCAATGGGAGGAATGATGATCATCATTGATAATCCATTGACTTGAGGGTACCCTATTCTGAAATAAACCCATATCACATATCCAACCAATCCCGAAAAAACAGAGAATGTACGGTTGATGTGGGGATGCTGATCAAACTGAAATCACACAACATTTACCCTGTCATGTTCAGGTTTTAACAGGCCATGGTGGCTTTTGCCATCCAAACACAGGCAGTTCACATGGCCACCAACTGGGCCGCATATCCAAGCAGGATCCATGTTCCCCATTCATGGTTAAAGAACCCCATTTTTTATGGGGTTGAATCCGTTGATGCTTAGATCCCCAAGATCCAAATTCTTGCTAACCACCTGACCGTTCCAAGCACTCCAAGCACTCCAAGCACCCCAAAACCGGGCACCCGACCTTCCAGAGTCGCTGCGATCCGATGGACCCCCGTCCACTCCCCTCCTGCTGACGCTGGGACCTCAAAGGAATGTGAAGTGACTACGACTAATACTGTGAACAATAATTATTCATAATAAGAAAAATCATTAACACTAATAATAACAATGACAATAACAATAATAACAATCGTAATACCAGTAGTACCGCACAAGGCGGTGGCGGAAGTCTCAAAAATAGGAAACCTATAGGAGAGGTTGGCTGTTGTGAATCACGGGTGGCAGAGCGAAGCCACTGATGGATCGAAAGGTGATTGATGTCTCCTAATTTTCTCTCTCTTTCTCTCTCTTTCTCTCTCTTTCTCTCTCTTTCTCTCTCTTTCTCTCTCTTTCTCTCTCTTTCTTTCTCTTTCTCTCTCTTTCTCTCTCTTTCTCTCTCTTTCTCTCTCTTTCTCTCTCTTTCTCTCTCTTTCTCTGATTATCTACCTACCTACCTACCTACCTACCTACCGATCTATCTATCTATCTATCTACCTATCTATCTATCTATCTATCTATCTCTCTCTCTCTCTATCTCTCTATCTCTCTATCTATCTATCTATCTATCTATCTCCTCATCAACCTATCTATGTATCTATCTATTCTATATATCTATCTATTCTATCTATTCTATCTATCTATCTATCTATTCTATCTATCTCATCTATCTGTCTTATCTATCTATCTTATCTATCTGCCTTATCTATCTTATCTATCCATCCTATCTATCCTATCTATCTAGCTGTTTCTCTATCTATATATCTATCTATCTACCTATCTATGTATGTATCTATCTATCTATCTACCTATCTATCCATCTATCTATCGATCTGTCTATCTATCTATCTATCTATTTATCTTTCTATCTATCTATCTATCTACCTATCTATCTATCTATCTCCTCA